CAGATTCGCCCTATTCAATAACTGATTATAGCTGGACTTTGTGTCCCTATAAACGGCCCTTAATCCTCTTTCCTGGATTCTCTCCAACAAAGATAAACTTTAATGCAATGAATATGTTGCAAATGCCTTTTCAAAGCACTGGAAAAATGAGTAAATGATGAGTCTGTAGTCATGAAACAATGACAAGAATAATAATATACGAACTCGAAAATGGTGTATTCAAAGTAATCCGGACATATTCATTGTAATTTTATTATTTTCTTGGAAAATAATGCAAACCAACCTTCTTTTTGTTTTTATTGACTTTAGCATACACGGGTTCCACGTTAGATTTCACTTTCTTGGAACTGGATGTCTCGTCACGTGGTGGTTGTTGTACTTGGTTAGAAGTGATTACCGGTTTGTACCCAGTCTCTTCCACGGTGGCATAAAAAGCATTGCTTGCAGATGTGTGAATTACGCTTCTCACTCGTATAGCATCAACTGGTTCTCCATACGGACTCTCCTCCACCAACTGATTTTGCATTCTAACAAAGTCGTGTGTTTTATGTAGTAAGTCAATGTAAAAGTACTAACCAACATAACTAACTATTCGTCAATCAAATCAACCAAGGCCTGAATGGACCCGAGTTTCTTAAAGGTAACGCGGCTGTGAGGCTAACATGTAAATACGATAGAAATCACACTTTTTCTCGATGGAATCTGTGGCTCTTCTTTCGTATTTCCATGACGTTATCGTTGCATTCAAATACTTTTAAAAATGGTCTATTTTTTATCTATTTAACACTAGTCAACTAGTCAGCGGTTGAAGCCTAAGTAATCGATTAATCAAACAAGGAGGAAGAATCCTAGTCAACTACAATGCACTGCGCCGGCAGGAAACAATGAAATGCTATGCAATGCGCTTTTTTTTTTTTCTGCCAGAAAAATGGTGGTTTGTAGGTGAAAGTTGAGTTAACAATTCATGATTCGATTCGCTGTTGTCCTAGTGAGAACCATTAATTGTTCTAAAAAAAGTCAGTTCTTTACTATTACACAACGTCATATACTTATAAAAAGTAGAACTTGTCAGAACTTACGGGTTACGGGCTATAGACTGTGTACCTGGAAGCAAAAGAAACAATATTACGGTTATGGCATCATGAAAATAGGTTATTTTCACTTACACATGTGTTACATTCCCATTAGTTACCCCTTATAAACGAGCAGTCGTGTTAAAATGAACCACAGGATTAAAATGTACACCTAGATACTGGTAAAAAAAAAGTGAATTAGCTTATAATGTTGACTGTTGCTGGATCTAAATCAAATATTCCTTAATATAGCAATTTTTACAACCATGGTCCCGCTTTTTGACCCCGTGAGCATGCGCTTCTAAAAGAAGCATGTATCCAACCCTATCTTAATACTATTGTTTTGGGCCTCTCAATGCAAACGAGTTGCGAAAGATCACCGCACCTGTGTTCAAGGCTTATGTGGGAACTAACATTATTATTTGGCTTCAACTCTTGT